AAGATTATTAATCAGGCTGACATATTTACAGCAACATAACCTAATTTATTTTCAAAGCCAGATTTACACCATCTAATAATATTTAAATTTAGCTTTAACTTTAAATTTGTTAACGATTATCCCTCTATTTGATCACACATTATCTTAAAGTGAAATTTAAAGGGGTAAATCAGTAAAATTATTGATTTCTTTTTCATTATTTTTGAAAACATATTTTTTTATGGGTGTAAAACGGGTTTGAATTTAGTGATAGCAGCGCGCTAAGCGCTTACGGTTCAACTACCAACAAGGAAACAAGTCCCGCCATTTATTCAAACCTTCTCTTTTTATTTTTCTATGATTATTCCTCGATACGGTTTCATACTAGCCTCGACGTCACTTTCTGACTCGGTGTGACCTTATAGCTCTTCTATTGTTTGTTTGTTCTTGAACATTACAAAATTGTGTAAACCTCTGCCTGAAATACTGATGTATGTTTTCCTATTGCATAGCTAAGGCTGATATCTGGATTTTTGAATTATATTCCAGCTCCAGTGTCTGTATAACATGAACGATGGGCAATGAGTTCCATTATGGTGATCTCCAGTTTATTCGTTATTAGAATCTCGAATAGTGTTTTATATGTGTTTTTCTACACCCACGTGAATATTAGCTATTCTAAGAACAGACTACAAAACTAAATAGTAGGCCATTGCGTTCATCTGAACGAATATAGTTCATATCCATTCTACCCAGTAAGAACACTACACGGATATGCAACCCACCAATCAAAGTTCATATTTGGTCAACAGGTTACTATTATTTTTTAAGATTTAAAAAGTGACAATTTTGTCAAACTAATTGTCAGTATCAATGACGAAAAACTACTAGACTAATCCATTCATTCATAATTAAGCCCTTATTTATTGCAAGCATTCAGATACGCCATAAAAGTGTGACGAAATTTTGGTTCCACGGACAGTTAATTCTAACCAAACTTTTAACAATATTTGACATATACGTTTTTACTGTTTTTATTTTTTATTAAATATCGTTAGCAGATCATAAAAAGCAGTTTATAGGTATGTGGTTACTAACTGATTATAATATATTTGGTGCATGTTATCTACTCAGTAGAACCAAAATTACGTCATCACTAATTAGCCTATTGTTTTTTATATTAGGTAAACAGAACTGTCGCATCCGCTCCCACAATAAGAGGGAAAGCCCACTCACGCGACATGCCGCGTGCGACTGATCGCGCGCGGCAATACTTTTGATGTTTTTAAATGACCACGCGACCACGCGACAGAACCGCGTTAATGGGCTTTGAGTCATTTAAAAACATCAAAAGTATTGCCGCGCGCGATCAGTCGCGTGCGACATGTCGCGTGAGTGGGCTTTTCCTCTAAAACTAGCGAGAGTAGCGAGACGGCTGCTAAATTGAGCTTGTTTATATAGCCCGAGATACACATGCCTGTAGCTTGCGCACTTGCATGCCTTAAGCCGGAGATACACATGCCCGTAGCTTGCACATTTGCATACTTAAATGTTCAAGCTACTTGCATGTGTATCTGTTAACTTGCATACAAGTAGCTTGTATACAAGTAGATTGATCAAGATTTGATTTTTTCGCATGCAATGCGCAATTTGCTGCTTTAGATTGCTGCCAAACTTCAAAACAAATTGCGTACTTTCCTGGAAATCACCTTCAACTATGATAGTTGCAACGAGCAAAATATATTAGACTGATAATAACTGGCATTAAGAATGGAAATATATTTCCTTAATGTAATTTTGAAAGTCTTTCGTGCCTTTTAAAGTCTTTTGTTCCTTTTAAAGTCTTTTGTTAAAAGCAAACCGGACCTCTCGCAAAAAGCAAAAATGTGAGGATTTTCTAATATAAATTTGTATTTATATACACGCCACTGGGAATTCTTCACCAGAATATTGAGTGTTTTAAATTTATGCAACGATAAGATCAGAACTTTTCAGGTAATATCTATATCCAGATTACAATTCGCTAGGGAGTATCAAAATTGGAATGCAGACGACTGTAGATTTGTGTTGTTTACTCATGAATTCAGATTTTGCCTATGATCCCCGGATGGTCGCGAAAGAGTCTAGAGAAGAGAAGGTGAATGATATGAATAAGTGCACTCTTAGCCCTATAGTAGGTTTCCAAGGGCGGTAGGGATTCTGATATGGTATGGGCTGTGATATTGTTTCTGGTGATTTCTTTTGCTGCTATAATTCCCGTGAGCTCTGTTTAAACTACACTGGCACTATTGCTCATAGCCCATTTTATGTTAAGGTTTAAGGATCTGGAGTATATTCCACATCCTGAGCCTTTTTTCGTTTTAGATCCGTCAGTGTAGATATGAATCGTACCTGCCACTTCCGGCTCTTCTATTGTTCTGTTACAACTTTATATGGCTTATGGAAGATATATCTCGATGAGATGGAGTCCATGTTCACTTGAAGCAGTGGGAGCGTATCGAGCGCCTCCTGCCAAAAGCTACGTCTCGCCTCACCAGATCCTACATCATGTTCTATTCCAACCGTGCGGAGGCATGTCATTGTCATCAGAGCAACCTCCTTGATGTAAATATCAAGCGGAGTGAAACTAAGAATGACTTCCATGGCCCTGGTAGGTGTTGTTTTCATGGCTCCTGTTATGTTGAGACATGCTGTTCTTTGAATTTGTTCTAGTTTACGGATAGCTGTCAATTTTTGGGTTTTCTATACCCAGACAACTGCACCGTATGTTAGCATAGGTTTTATGATAGCAGTGTACGTTCATGCGACGACTCTGGGGGAGAATCCCACGGTTCGGCGGCATTGTTCATAAGCAATGTATGCTCTTTTGACTCTGTTTTCTAAATGCGAGTTCCATGTTAACGTGCTGTCAATGGTGAGACCTAAGTACTTCACTTCTGTTGCAAAGTTTAGTTTTGTGTTTATGAGTTCTAGAGGTTTTAATTCTTCTTAGGAATGATAGACAGTGAATGATTCTTACACCACTGTTCTATAATTTTGAGAGCTATTGCATTCTTTCGCAGAGTATTTTCTCAAAATTCCCTGTTTGCGGAATGACCAGGTCATCTGCATATGCTATTGTACAGTGACTGTCATTATTGAGGAGATTGATGAGGGTGTCGAGGACCATGTTCCACAGTAGAGGTGATAGCACCCCTCCCTGTGGACATCCCCTCACAACCAAGCCTCTTATATTCACATCTTCTACACTTGTTACCACATGTGGAACATTCCTGTTGGTTAGTGAGTGTATTATCTTGGGGAAGGTGGTTTTATTAAATTTTATTTTATTTTATTTATATGTCTATGAAAACATCCAAGGCGGACTCCTTATTGTCCAGGGATCTCTATCCGGCGAGCAACTAGATGAAGGGCTGAATCAGTGGATCTGACTGGGGTGTATGCATGTTGGTTTGGGTGTAGTAGTGTTGTTGTAATCACCGCACCCCTTATGTACCTTTCGCATAGCCTTTCCAATGTCTTCACGGAAAACGATGTCAGACTAATTGGTCGGTATGTTTTTGGGACGTGTAATCCATCCTTCCAGGTATGACTACCACTTTTACCTCTCTCCATTTTTCGGGATATACCTCAGAGCTAACGAGGATCTGAATATACCCACCAGGTGCGGTGTGAGTTCTTCCAGACCCCACTGAAGTAGGACTGGATAGATACCGTCAGGTAATGGCGATTTAAATGGAGAGAAGCTGGATATTGCCCATCTAATTAATTTTTTCATCGTCTACAATGTGTGTAGCAGTTTGCCAATCATAGACAGATGGGTTGTATTCTTCTTCTGCCCAGTCGGTCACGTCTGTGATGACCGAGTCAGGGAAGTGTGTTAACAGCAGAAGCTTGATGCTATCGTCGAGGTTGGTAGTTTTCGTGCCATCCTCTTTGATAAGCGCACTAATGCCTCGGTATGGATCTTTTGAGAGAGCTTTTTGAAGACTCTTTTTTTGTATTCTCTGAGGTGAGATTTGTGCACGCCCGCATTGTCACGGAATATTTTAACAAAGTTGGTATTTCCCAAATAGCATGGCCAGCGCGCAGCTCCCATCTAAATCCCACCGAGCATGTTTGGGATATGCTCGATAGAAGGATGTTAAGACGGGTTCCTGCTCCTCTTGCCTTGGATCAGCTCAGAGTGGCTCTTTTAGAGGAATGGGAAGCAATTCCACGTAATTTTCAATTTAATTGACAGTATGCCGTTACACAGGTCCCTAGAGTCAATACGAGGTATTAATTAGACAAATAAGTTATTACTACTGTTTTTTAAGGTTCCATACCCGAAGGGTAACCAACGGGATCCTATTACTAAGCCTCCGCTGTCCGTTTCTCTGTCAGCGGGCTCTATCTCATGATCCATAATAAGTAGGCAGTTGAAATTTTCACAGAATGTGTATTTCTGTTGCCGCTATAACAACAAATAATAAAAAATTAAAGGGGGTTCCCCTATTAGAAATTAGTTTTTTGCTCGATTTGAATATAATATTTACAAAGTACCTACATAGTATTAAATCTTATACGTTGGTGCGGAAGCCTTCATGCGCGTGTCCCACTCGCACGTGAGTTACAATAAAAACAAATCATTATTACTATAATTTCCTTCTGTATACAGACATGAAAGTAAAAAACAAAAAAATTAGGCATTTTTATCAAAAATGATCGTTTTAAGGGAATCTTTTCACCTCTGAGTAAAGTTGAAAGTAACTACTTGCTGATTAAACTGTAGGGCTATTGTTTGTTAATCTGTTAAGTAAACCTACATGTAACTTACTCAGAGGTGAAAAGATCGACCCTAAGTATTTTACTTTTTGACATCAAGTATTTTTCTGAAATTTATTCGTCTTGTTTAATTTCCTCCGGCTCCTGTTCCTATTTAAAAATAGAATATTTTAATTCGATCTATACATTGGTGTCTAAATTCTCTAAGGCATAATGATATGTAGTTTTTAATTTAAATTTGTTTTATATTTTAGGACTAGATTGGGCGAGAGGATGGTTAGCATGAATTCAACATTAGTGGAAACGGTCAGCATTAATTACGAAGATTTTAATGAAAGTTTTCTGACTTGCGGAACTTGTCTATGTAAGTATATGAATACACCTTTTATTTCTTTAGTTCCTAAAAAAAAGTAATTATTGCTTATGATAGATACTTAGTAGCCAGTTGCCATTTTTATTCTTTTTACACACCATTTATTATTTTTTGTAAATATACTTCAGTTTGATTATAAAATAAAGAATCAACAATAAAAAGATATAGGGTGGCCACTTTTTAATTGAAATGTATTGCTATCTCGTAAACCGTTGGTAACATAAAGTTTGTTAAATGGTAAAAAACATTGTATATTTGCAAGTCCCATCTGAGGACTTCTGAAAACCAAAATATCAGGGCCAGTTTCAGAGATATTCAATACAAAAAACAAATTAGTTCCAGTTCTTTAATCTACTACAGAACGTTTATTTTTCAAGACTTTTTGTTTTATATCAAGTTGCGTATTTAGTTTTTTATCTGACGTTTCGTAAATGCAGGACCACCATCAACTTCTCTATTTGAATATGGATAATTTATTTTATAAGAATTTTTACAATAATGTTTAATGCTGAATATAACGATGTCACAACATATTGGGATTACTTCTTATTACTATTTTAAATACTGTATTATAAATTAACGAAATTACGAATATTAAATACCATCGACAAAATTTTAATCGGCGGTTGTAATTTTCACAATACATGTTGAAGTTACATGGTATAAATATGAAACTAAAATAATTTTTCAAGTAAATTATTTTCATCATTAGTAATAGAATTAACTAAAAAGAAATAGATGTGCGATTAGGTTTTAAAATGTAGTTACTTATTTCAAATAATTCATCATACAGATCCGTGATCCGCAGTAGTAAGCACACTTACCTGATGAGATCAAATCTTCCAAAATGTTGATTAATCACAATGTTATTACATTATTTTATTCAATATTGAACATGCAAATGATGTGTCTGAATTATGCTGGTTCACATAACACATAAAGAAGCTGATAGAAATCCTGTTAAAAATTAAATGATATAAAATTGAAAAGTCTTCATTTTTTGGCTATTTTTTTTAAATAAACGTACTGTAGTAAGAAATGCAACTAATGTGTTTTCATATCTCGGAAATCGGCCCCGATATTTTGAACTATATAACTTTTTCTCCATTTAACCATAAAACGTTGGGTCATCAACAGTTTACATACATTATTAACAGTGGTTGATGATGACCAACAATATGGATGGCCAGAATTATTGATTCTAAATTAATTTAAAAATAATTTCACCAATAACGTGTCGTGGTAAGAAACACATGTTGTACAGGGTGTTTCAGAATAAAGTACGGTAGATCTTAACTTATTATTAAGAAAAGCTAAATATAGTTTTCCTGTAAACGTCCCAGTTTTCATTATACAGGGTGAAAAAGGGAATTTCATAAATACATATTGTTTTTAAATATCTTTACCTATGGTAAAGACTTTAATTTAAAAATATGTACCTGTTAGTTAATCACCATTATTAATTGATACACATTATTTTGATAAATTACGATAACCCATTGGCGTAGAATCAAGGGCTAAGAAAACAATTTTGATTCAAAGTTTTTGAACACCCTACACCCTATATTTCAAAAAAGTTAAATTAATAATTATTCTTCGCGCAATTTGTCACAAAAAAGGGCTCTTAGTTGATATTTGTAAAGTATTCCATTTCTAAAGTTTTTCTCGTTTAGCCCTAATGACACATGAAAGCTTATGTACATTATGAAATGCAAATTTTTATTATAGTTCTATTTCATAATCAATATTAAAAGATCCATTAACTGATGGGACCTATAAGATCTTGGTCCCATTAGGTAATGGAACTTTTAATATTCATTAAGAAATCGCTCCTTTATAAAATTTATTGTACATAGATTTCATGTTTGAGTAGGACTAAAACTGAAAATTCTCGGGAATGGAATGTTCTACAAAGATTAAGCAAGAGTCCCTTTTTGTGAAAAATTGCGTTAGGAATAATTATGAATCATAACTTTTATGAAATGTAGAGTGTTCAAAAAGTTTGGATTAAAATTGTTTTCTTATTCTACGCCAATGGGTTATCGTAATTTATCTTAATAGAGTATGTTAACTAATAATGACGATTAACTAACGTGTACAGTGTACATATTTTAAAGTTAAAATCTTTACCGTAAGGGAAGATATTTAGAAAATTATGTATTTATGAAATTCACTTTATCGCCCTTTAAAATGAAAACTGGGAAGTTTACAGAAAAATTATAATAAGCTTCTCTTAATAATTAGATCTACAAGTCTACAAGTTTACGGTACTTTATTCTGAAACACCCTGTATATGTCTAGGGAAAGATTAGGCGTTGCGCGCTTACTGATTGAAAAGTGAAAGAATTGGTTTAGGTGATCGGAATACGTTCAAAAAACAAGAAAAAAGCTACCCAAGAAAAGCGATAGAGTTGCATATTAAGGCAAGTATGTGATACGACCTAAATAATTACTAGGTGGGACACTATTAGTCTTGATATGAAGGTGAGTTGGGCTGGGATTGAATGAAAATGAATAGAACAAAGTAGCAGGAAAAATACTTGTAGTTAACTGATGTTAACCTGCTTAATGGAAAAGGTTGAAACGTTGGTTAACTGAAAATTAAAATATGTTTAATGGAATACAATTTTTTGGCATCTAAATGAAAACAAAAAACAGTTTTTATACTGATATTCATGACCTCAATGTCCGGAAATTGCGTGTACATGGAGCTTTCCACATTTATGGGGTCAAAATAAGTTGACTTAACCAAACTTACCTAATAGCAATTATTAATAATTAAGTCAAATAGAACAATACGTGAGCATCAACTAACAGCTTAATTTCACTATAACACTCAAGGCGACTCAACTACTCAACTTGTTCTGCCTGGAAGAATGCAGACTACGGTTCGCTACTACCGTCATCGTTCCCTGCACCCCCGCTCTTGACTGCTAATGTTCTTTACATTATATTACAATGAGTAATCACACAAAAATTTGTTTACCTAACATACCTATATACCAACTTGCTTCGTTTGGCCGCTAGAGGTCAACAAATTTAAATAAAAATATCTCTTCAAAATTCAGCTATTTTAAAAGATCACACTTGGTACGAATATTAGGTGTTTTATGGCCAATTAAAATCGGTAAGAACAATTTTTCAATTGCGATCATAAGTGTCTCATTAAGGGAAGGACAACGGACATTTTCCCTATTTTTTCTGGCTTTTCTGACCTTTTTGGCATTAAAATAGGAAACTATGGAGTTTTTGCTAAAAAAAATGCTCTTGTTCGATGTCGCCACAAAAAAATAGATAAAATTGAGAAAATCGTAACCTCACGTTTTGACACACCCTATGTACAACATAGCAAATGAATAAAGTTAATTAAAATTGTTTGACTATGTGAAAACAATCAAATATGTATAACTAGCTGCATGATGTTTGGTTTTAAAAAGATATAGATTTGGTCAGCACCTCGTTTATGGACCACCCTGTATATTTAAGAATAATTGTTAAATATGGTCATACAACTTTTATATTAAAACTTTCTTCGTATTTATAATAATAAAACAGCTATTGATCAATTACGCACTGATGGGGCACCCTGTATATGTGTTATTGGCTAGCATATTGGTATCGTTGTTTAGGGAAATGTATAAGGAATTCTAAGCTAAGATAATATACAGGGTGTTGCTATTGAAAAAATTGAGTAAATTGAACTTAAAATTAGCCATATTTGACATGTTTCAAAACACTCTGTATAAAATAAATCAGTTCTATCACATCACCACTATTCGTTAGCTTAGTATATATAATATCTTATATGTCTGTATATTTAACAATTTTGAAATCAATGTAAACCTACCTAAATTATGATAATTTAGTTCAGAATTATGGATTATTCTCCAATTTCAAAAAAAAATAATTGCTTGGCAAAACTGTAGTATTTTAAAAATATTCTAGGGTTAAATACAGTATTACCAAACCATTATAAAAATAAAATACAGGATGTTCTATTTAAAAACATATATTTTTATTTGCCAGGCAAAAACGCAACACCCTGTATATCCAAAAACATTTTTAAAATATGTATTTTTCTAGCCCATATAACTTTTATTTGAAACTTGTTTGAGTGTCTATAACACAAATTGAAATATTGAATAATTACGCACTAATTGATAAGTTTGGTTATTTTGAGCCCATAATTCTGTGGTAGCTCCATGTATACGCAATTTCCGGAAACCCTGTATAAAAGATAAAATGCTGATCTTATTTTTTTCTATTCTGGCAAGAATAATGTTAAAAAACAACATATTCTCTGTTGTTACAGATCGCATTTGGAATGGTTCGTTATTTTTATTTTTATTATTTGCATGTTGACAAGGTAGAAGTTTTATATGGGGTGTTAGTAAATAAGTGCGACAAACTTCAGGGGGTGGTTCTGCATGAAAAAATAATGACAATTTGCTATATAAACGTATGTTTGAAAATGCTTCGTTTTCCGAATACGGTGTTAAAGTTTTTCTTAAAAACTTATGATTTATTTATTGCTCTGAATCCCGTCGAGATATGCAAATGAAATTTGGTGGGCTTTAAGAGATAGTTATTGCGCGTTTTTGACATGCATTTAAGAACTTTATGTTCATCATTGGCGCGCATACGGGTAATGATCTCAATTATTTTAAAGAAAAAAATTGTACGCCACTGAGATATTTCAAATTAAAAATCACTTTTGAGTCCCTCGTTCAATCTGTGACAAAAAATCTTTTCGCATGGGGCATATCTTGACCGGTTTCAGAGCAATAAACAAATCGTCAGTTTTTAAGAAAAACTTTAACACCCCGTATTCGGAAAACGCAGCATTTTCAGACATACGTTTATATAGCAAACTGTCATTATTTTTTCATGCTGAATCACCCCCTGAAGTTTGTCGCACTTATTTACTAACACCTGTATACATTAAAAAAATAATGGACACTATGATAAACAGTTTGACACAATCCATTATT